GCATTTGGCTAGCGTCAATGTCACTACTGGTATCATGAGGCAATACCTGGACTCTACAGTGGTTGCACAGGCAGTCCAACTCCTCCAGGATGGCACATCAATACAGGCCATTGCCAAAAGGTTTGCTGTGTCTCCCAGCACAGTCTCAAGAGCATGGAGGAGATTCCAGGAGACAGGAAGTTACTCTAGGAGAGCTGGAAAGGGCCGTAGAAGGTCCTTAACCCATCAGCAGGACTGATATCTGCTCCTTTAGAACAGGATGAGCACTGCCACAGCCCTACAAAATGACTAGAGATGAGCGAATTGAACATGACGAAGTGGAATTCGTTCCGAAGATTTGGAAAAATTCTATTCACGACGAATCCGAAGATAAGCAAACTTCGGATGCACGAATCGAATTTTCCCAAAAATGGCGGCGACATGTGTGGCGACAGGAGAAAATGGACAGAGAAGATGGGGCGGGGATCTCTGGGAAGGCGCGCAGACAAGGCGCGCTGACCCATAATGCATTCATGAGTCATGAATCATGACATGTGATCGCATTAGCCAATCAGCAGCCAGCCAGCACTGTGTAATGGTGGAGCTATAAATCGCGGCCATCTTAGAATTCTCCATTAGCCTCCGGTCATTCAAGAGAGACAGACCTGTCTGTATTAAGGGACAGAGTTAGGGCCACAGAGACTTTAGGGCCACAGAATCGTTACTCAGGGACACAGAATCGTTACTCAGGGACACAGAATCGTTACTCAGGGACACAGAATCGTTATCAGGGCCACAGCTATCAAAGAATCGAAAATTTAAAGTGACATACACCTTTTTTTTTCTTGGTGGCTGTCGTGCACAGTTGGTGCTGCAGTTTGCCGATTGTGCAAAATAAAAACTGACTTTCTGCTTCACAACCACTATTGTACGTTCAAAGAGTTAAATCCATTTACACGCCGGGTGGCAGGTAATATTTTTTGGGTGATTAGTGCATTCCAGTGACATAAACGTACAGTTTCCAGCCAACGGCAAGCGGCAATTGACCGATTGTGCTAAATAAACTGACTTTCTGCTTCACAACCACTATTGTACGTTCAAAGAGTTAAATCCATATACACGCCGGGTGGCGGTAATATTTTTTGGGTGATTAGTGCATTCCAGTGACATAAACGTACAGTTTCCAGCCAACGGCAAGCTGCAATTGACCGATTGTGCTAAATAAACTGACTTTCTGCTTCACAACCACTATTGTACGTTCAAAGAGTTAAATCCGGTTTTATTTTTTGGGGTGCTTATTGAATTAAAGAGTATGTCAGACAACATGCAGAGGAGTGGCAGAGGAGGCAATGTTTCAGGAGCGAGCAGACGTGGCAGCAGAGGAAGGGGTCGAGGCAGCACTAGTCGCAGCCAGAGGCCAGTGCTCCCGGTGTCATCCAGCGGTCGTGTCTCCACCGACAACCCTGCCGTCATCGATTGGTTGACTCGGTCGTCTTCCTCTTCCCAGGTCACCTCTGACACCTACAGCCAACGGTCGGTGGGTACGTCAGACACAACCGTTAGTTGGCATGGCCCGGGAGCAAGCCCACTGAAATCACGTGTCCTCTACCTGCCCCTGTCCTTTGGTGTTCCCTCACCAAGCGAAGTATCGCATGCTGTGGGCTCAGCCCCACTGTACAGTGAGGAAGAGCTAACAGAGGGCGGTCAGGAACGGGGGGAGACATCCGCCTCTTCAGCAGCCAGGCGAAGAAGTACTGGCGAGGAGAGTGGCTCGGTAGCCGGTCTAGAGACAGGTCTGTCTCCTGACCCACACGCAGCCGAGGGGGCTAGTAGTGACGCGCGAGACCCTAATTGATGATGATGAGGCTGATCGCACTTGGCAGCCTCGTCGTCATCAGGCTATTGCTTCCGCATCATCAGGAGAAGAGGGTGCCAGCTTGGCAGCGAGCAAAACAGTCGGTGGGTTGCCCAGGAGGCAGCAGGGTCGCAGCAGTGTCAGTGGAGCCAAACGGCCACGGAGTAGAGCACCAGCTCCACTGCAGCCTACCACCACGGCCAGTAGTGGTGCCGGTGTGCACGGAGGAAGTAGCAGTCAGCCAGTGAGGAGTAGCGGGGGCAAAGTTTCCTACTCGGCGGTGTGGCAATTTTTCGTCAAGCCGCCCGAGGAAGTAAACGTAGCCGTATGTCGACTATGTGGCCAGAAAGTCAAGCGTGGCCAGGGGGCCAATGTTGGGACTACAGCGTTGCGTCAGCATATGCAGCGTCGCCATTCGGTGGCCTGGGAAAACCGTGATAAAGATACGGCGGTTCTGCCTGCCCCAGCCCCCGCTCCATCACCCGCTCCGTTACTTGCTCCGTCACCCGACGTCAATCGCCCTCTATCAGCCAGTCAAGGCTCCAACACCTCTGCTGAGGGGAGTTGTCGCTCGTTGGCATCTTCCGCTCGTTCAGATGCTCCTTCTCCTGCTACTCCTCTTCACGGATTCCGTCAGCAGTCTTTCTTGGAATCCGTTTCCAAGAGACAACAGTTTGCGAGCACGCACCCGACGGTGCAGAAGCTGAACGTCCTCCTGTCCAAGTTGCTGGTGCTGCAGTCCCTCCCTTTCCAAGTGGTGGACTCAGCACCTTTCCGAGAAATGATGGCTTGTGCCGAGCCGCGGTGGAGAGTGCCAAGCCGGCATTTCTTCGCCAAAAAGGCAGTGCCAGCCCTGCATTCACATGTAGAAGAGATGGTGGGCCAGTCTTTGAGCATGTCGGTCTCTGCCAAAGTGCACGGCAGCGCCGACGTGTGGAGCTGTAACTACGGTCAGGGACAGTACATGTCATTTACGGCCCACTGGGTGAACGTGGTGCCGGCACAGCCGCACCAGCAACTTGGACAGGTCACGCCGCTTTTGCCTCCACGTTTGCACGTCCTTGGTCCAGCAAAGATGTCCGCCTCTACCACCTCTTCTTCCGCCGTGTCCTCAGCCGCCACCCCCCCCGTGCCAAGTCCCATTACCCGACCGGCATATCACATGTGCAGGGCGCAACGGTGTCACGCTGTGCTGCACCTGGTATGCCTTGGCGAACGTAGTCACACAGGGGAGGAACTTCTGAGTGTAATGAACAGAGAAATCGACAGATGGCTGTCTCCGCGCAAACTGAAAATCGGAACCATGTTGACCGACAACGGAAAGAACATGGTGTCTGCTCTGCGTCAAGGAAGGTTGTGCCATGCGCCATGCATGGCTCACGTGTTCAATCTGGTTGTCAAGCGGTTCCTAAAATCCACCATCCCACTGCAAGACATCCTTAAAATGTCACGTAAACTTTGCATGCATTTCAGCCATTCCTACACCGCAAAGCACACCCTCCTTGAGCTGCAGCGGCAGAACGGAATTCCACAGCATCGCCTGATCTGCGACGTTGCAACAAGGTGGAATTCAACCCTACATATGTTAGACCGCCTTTACGAACAGCGAAAGGCCATCACCGATTTCCTGATGTTACAAGCGGATAAAGGTACTCCCCTGTGTAACTTAGATGTCAGCCATTGGCAGCTCATGCGTGACACCTGCCGCTTGCTCAGGCCCTTTGAGGAGGCCACGCTATTCGTGAGTCGGCAGGACTATGGGATGAACGACGTCATTCCTCTGTTGCACGTCCTGGAACAAATGCTGTTAACAATGGCTGGTCAGGGTGCGGTAGACGTGGCGCACAGATCTCAACGCCACATGACCCCTGTGGGGGCAGGACAGGAAGAAGAGGAGGAGGTAGAGGAGGAGGACATTGGTGCTCAGGAATTATTGAGTGAAATGGGTGGTTTTTCCACTCAGCGGACAGGAGTGGAGGAGCAGGAGCATCTGGTAGAGGAGGAGGAGGAGACAGAGGACCCAGACGCACCGTGGCAGTATGCTGTGGAGATGGAGGCAGGGAGTCCCTCGCATTCCTTGGCACAAATGGCCCATAGCATGCTCGGTTGCTTGCGTAGCGACAGCCGAATAATAACCATCAGACAGAGGGATGACTTTTGGCTGTCCACCTTGTTGGACCCTCGCTACCGTTCAAAAATGGTGGCCTTTTTCACACCTGCTGAGAGGGAGGCCAAAATAAAGTACTATAAAAACCACCTATGTAGTCAGTTGGTCTCTGCCTTTCTGCGCCAACGTCCATCCTCAGACACTGTGGGCCCTGTGCGCTCGCGTTCCGCTGCCATGGCAGCAGGGGAGGGGTGGGGTGGTAGGAGCAATGGCAGCTCCACCAGCAGCGGCTGCCTCAGTCTGCAGTCGATGATGAGTAGCTTTCTTCACCAGCGCAGTGAGGAAACTACTAACCAGCCGCAGCAGCAGCAGCATCAGGTGGACCTGGAGCAGGACCTCAAACAACAGGCTTGGGCCTACTTGGACAGCACCCTGCCAACCGAGGTAGACAATCCCCTTGACTACTGGGCAACGAAACTTGACCTTTGGCCCCAACTAGCTGAATTTGCCCTTGAAAGGCTGTCATGCCCGGCCAGTAGCGTGGCATCGGAGCGCGTGTTTAGTGCGGCAGGAGGTATTGTAACTCCGCGGAGGACACGACTGTCCACCCAAAGTGTGGAGAGACTCACGTTTGTGAAAATGAATCAGGCGTGGATTAGTCTGGATTTCAAACCACCAGTTCCTGACACAACTGACCTAATAACCTAGCCGTTCAGGCCGCTCCCTGAACACCTCGGGAATTGCTTTGTATATCTGTCGCCTTAGAGGCCGCTGTCTGAACAGCTCATGAATTGCTTTCTATATGTGTCGCCTTTGAGGCCGCTGGCTGGACAGCTGATGAATTGATTTGTATATATGTACTTATTGTCTGCTGTCCGGACAGCTCATGAATTACTTTTTGTATATAGCCTTCCAAATCACTCTCAGAATAAGTCATGATATTCATGCTGTGTATAGCCTTATAGGCCAATGGTCAATCAAGTCATGATTGTTATAGTGTGTATAGCCTTATAGGCCGCTGTCTTTACAACTTTATAATTCCATGCAGTATATAGCCCTATCAGCCACTTTCTGGCATCCAGTTGCTGTAGCCCCCATCACCACACTGTGCCACGGGCCCCTGTACCGCCTTCTCATACTGCTGCCAGATCCATCCTCTGCCATGTGCGTCTTTGTCTGTCGTCTGCTCACGCTGCTGGGTTCCAGTTTTTTAAACCTAGGCCTGTGTATGGCTTCCGAATACTGCTGCCTCCACCGCCACCCTGCGCCATGTGCCTCTGTCGTCTGCTCACGCTGCTGCGGCTTCCACTTTTTAAACTAGTCCTGTGTATGTCTTCCGAATACTGCTGCCTCCACCGCCACCCTGCGCCATGTGCCACTTTCAGGTCTCTCTTACACTGTTGGTGGGTTCCATTTTGTGATAGGGTGCTGTATGGCCTTCCATTGCTGCTGCCTCCACCGCCACCCTGCGCCATGTGCCTCTGTCTCTGTCGTCTGCTCACGCTGCTGACGGCTTCCGCTTTTTAACCGGGGCCTGTGTTTGGCTTCCGAATACTGCTGCATCCACCGCCACCCTGCGCCATGTGTCTCTGTCGTCTGCTCACGCTGCTGACGGCTTCCGCTTTTTAACCTAGGCCTGTGTATGGCTTCCGAATACTGCTGCCCACCACCGCCACCCTGCGCCATGTGCCTCTGTCGTCTGCTCACGCTGCTGACGGCTTCCGCTTTTTAAACTAGTCCTGTGTATGTTTCCGAATACTGCTGCCTCCACCGCCACCCTGCGCCATGTGCCACTTTCAGGTCTCCTTACACTGTTGGTGGGTTCCATTTTGTGATAGGGTGCTGTATGGCCTTTCATTGCTGCTGCCTCCACCGCCACCCTGCGCCATGTGCCTCTGTCGTCTGCTCACGCTGCTGACGGCTTCCGCTTTTTAACCGAGGCCTGTGTTTGGCTTCCGAATACTGCTGCATCCACCGCCACCCTGCGCCATGTGTCTCTGTTGTCTGCTCACGCTGCTGACGGCTTCCGCTTTTTAAACCTAGGCCTGTGTATGGCCTTCAATTGAAGCTGCTTCTGCTCCGCCACTCTGCCATTGGACTCTTGATAGTCGTCTCCCCACGCTGCTGCTGGGGGGACTTTTTAACATAGGCCTCTGTATGGCCTTCAATTTTAGCTGCTTACGCTCCGCCACTCTGCCATGGGCCCCTGTACCGCCTCCTCATGCTGCTGCCAGGCCCGTAATCTGCCATGGGCCCCCGTACCAACTCCTCATGCTGCTGCCAGGCCCGTAATCTGTCATGGGCCCCTGTACCGCCTCCTCATGCTGCTGCCAGGTCCAGAGTGTGTCATGGGTCCCTGTACGGCCTCCCATTGCTGCTGTCTCCATCGCCACACTCTGCCATGTGCCACTTTCAGGTCTCCTCACACTGCTGGTGGGTTCCATTTTGTCATGGGGTGCTGTATGGCCTCCCATTGCTGCTGCCTCCACCGCCACACTGTGGCTCCACACTCTGGTTTTGGCCCCGTGACTGCCCAAATGAGTGAAGTGTGCGGTGATTCTAAGATCGACGGCACTCATCTGCATGTCATACTGACTGACAGTATTATTTCTTTTCCCCAGCAGACTCCAAGGGCATTTAAATTAAAGGTACAGTGTTCTGCACTAATATAAAGGCTCTCTGAAGCCTAGAAACACCCTTTTTATAAGTTAAATTCGCAGCGAATATATTCGGCACGAAGCGAATTTAATCGGCGAATTCAGCGAATCAGCCGAACCGAATTTTTGAATAATTCGCTCATCTCTAAAAATGACCTTCAGCAGGCCACTGGTGTGAATGTCTCTGACCAAACAATCAGAAATAGACTTCATGAGGGCCCGAAATCTTCTTGTGGGCCCTGTGCTCACTGCCAGGCACCATAGAGCTCGATTCCTAACACATTACCCAGTCCCAATCAGTATAGATATCCAGCATGATATTTTTCCCCATTGAGATCTGATGTGTTTTCAAAGTGTTCCTTAATTTTTTTTAGCAGTATATATATATATATATATATATTTTGAACATTGTGTCCTTCAGATTATGCACTTTGTGAGTGTACACAATGCTCTCAGCAATTTTTCCATTCTGCATCCCTGGAAATATTAAAATGGGATGGCATTCAGAGTCTGTGTAGTGGCTCTTTGGATATCCACACTACCAAAATGGTGTCCTTTCAAACCCTTCTTCATCTTTGACAAAAAACCAAGTCTGGACTGTAGGGTGAATTGGAAGCACCGTGATATGTTTTCAAAAGCACTGTGACTTGGTACATTGTCGTGATGAAGGACCTAAGTTGAGCTGATCTCAGGACGCAGACAAAAAAAAACTCTTTGTCTTAAGCGACCAAGAACAGGTAAAATGTTTGATTCACAGTTTGACCAGTAGGTACAAATTCCTTATGAACAGTTCCATGTGAATAAAAAAAAATGCAATAACCATTGATTTGACTTTTGATTTGCTCATTCAAGCTTTTTGTGGCGAGATGAGGTGGGTGTGTGCCATTCTGAACCTTTGATCTTACTCAAACACCCAGAATTCATCTCCCATGATCACTTGAGTCAAAAAATCAGCCTCTTATTCCAAACAGGCCAACAGGTCTTGGCAAACGAGTTGACAGTATTCCTTCTGATCAGGTGACAAGTTCTTTGGAACCCAGTTTTGCACACACTTTTTCTCATGTTCAAATCCTGAGCCACGATTTCATGAACAATTGACTTGGTAAAAACATACATATATGTTGCATTAAAAGTGAAGTACATAGGAAACATTTTCAGAATACAGTTCCTGATGTAATGAAAATGGCAGTTGCCATTCAAAAATGATGATCTTTTGGCTACTGTATATTCTGAGTTTGGTCCACTAAAGCAGCAGATCATGTCAGTCTGCAGAACCAGCAGTCCAACCCTTCTCTCAGAAAACTAACCACTGACAATGATCCTTTAACTGTCTGTAATGGGACATTCCTCCCAGTGCTAATTACTGTATTTTAATTGCCTCCATACTGACCACTGCAATGTAAGGGATTCTTCATCCACTGACCACAAATGTAAGATGGTCCTTCTACTGACCATGTAAAGAGGTAACTTCTACACTAACTGCCAGTGTAAGGGGAACTTTTCTACTGCCCATCAATGTGACAGGGGATTTATCCACTCAAAACCAATGTAAGGGGATATTTAACCAATCAACACCAACTGCCTACTGCCCACCAATATAAGGAAAACCTTTCCACTGTCCATCAATATAAGGGGGAATTTATCCACTCAACACCAATGTAAGGGAAACTGCCTAATGCCCACCAATGTAAGGAGGGGGGTTTGTCTCTATCACCAATGTAGGAGTACATTTCTTCACTGACCACCAATATAAGGGAAACCTTCCACTGTCCACTAATGTAAAGAGGTATTTCTCCACTGACCATCAGTGTAAGAAGGTTCTACACAGACCACCAATGCAAGGATGTCGACTATATTTCTCCATTGGCCACCAATGTAAGGGGATGTTTCTCAACTGACCATCAAGGGAAGAGGGTACTACATGGACTACCGATTTAGGGGGCAATTTCTCGGCTGACCACTAACGTATGGGAAAACCATTCCATTGACCACTAATGTAAGGAGGTATTTCTCCACTGACCATCTATATAAAAAGGGAATTACACTAATCATCAATGGAATGTGGCATTTCTCCACCACAAATGTAAAGGGATGCCACAGTTTTTACTATGTTTCTTTTTTGGCCTCTGACATTCAATGCAAACATTAATTTGCTAAAGCTGGCCATATACTGCTAGTGTTCTCTATCCACACAAACTAGACGGATGAAGGAATTCCCATTGCTTTAGAATACACTGAACAGCGGCTGCAATTGATTGGCTGAATCTGCTGATTGAGGAAAAATTTCCAACATGGCATGGCAATTCAACAGAAGTCAATCAAACAATCAAATTCTGTCAAGCAGGATGGCCACACACTGATTGAAATACAGCTGGTTCAGCAGGGATCAGCATATGGCCAGCTTTCTTGAAAAATTTCTATTCTATTGCATATCAACCTTAGCGGATCAGGAAGACTGAAAAAAAAGTAAGCAAAGGTAAACTTAATATTTCTTTTATGTAGGGTTCAATTTAAAGTATACTGGTTTATACATCTGGCAGTAAAACATATGAGCATTATATGTCACAATAACATATACAAACATAATGAAACAAATGTACTCATAGGTATCTCTGCCAAGATGCAAGGAATGCAGCAAGCCTTAGTGTTATTCTTTTGGAATGGCACAAATCTCAGACTTGGATGGAGCTAGTGGGTCCTGAGGGCCCAATAACAGTTTCACTATAGGAAACAGTCATTTATTTTTACATTCTAGCGTCTAACCCTTTTAATCACATGGTAGCTGATTTCTTAGGGTCCAGCAACATTTTGATGATGTACAAGTATGTATTTAAAACCTGTGAAGACCTGAAAGAGCTTGAAAAGGAACAGAATAATTTAATGTTAAAGTGAAGAAGTTATGAAGTTAGAATTATTAAAACTAAAATTCCTGCCTAACATGTAGCACAGCAAGGTTCGAGCTGTAAAAATGTAAACAGTACGTTCATAGTATTATAGTGTTTTTGATGGTTAAATTATGTACATTGTGTGCAGGTTTACTTTTGTATATTCATACTTCAAATGTATACAGTACTTTCAGAGTATTATAGTCTTTTTGAGGGTTAAATTATGCGCATAAATACTCACAAGCAACTCCGTCATTACAGTTTTAAAGTAAAGATATATCCAATAAAATCTAACTCTAGTTGAAAGACTTAAGCACATCTTAATATAGTTCAGTGAAATAATCATCCAGTCAGGCTAGAAAAAAAAAATCAAATGTCTTCTTTATAGTTGGTTTTTTGAACTAAGGTAAAAAAAGTATTTTAATAAGGTAAACTACTAATTTCGGTAGGTGAGATTTCTAAATGTGAGTGTATGCCAGTGTTGAGACAAATATGAACAGAATATGTAGTCATGAACTTTGTGACATATAGAAGAGAAACTGAGTACCGTAAAAACAATTATTATATACATTAAAAATCTATTACACAATACCTTTAGAGCTCCTGAAAATGTAATTATGCTGGATTATCCTTGCTTTTTACCATTTCTTTCCCCTTTCTTCCTTTCTTCTCTACCTCTGCTCTTCAACCTGCTAGGAAGGGCCCTAAGGCCATTGTTTGGCCTCCCTGAGTTTAATTATCCCCTGATTGAGGAGACAGACAATAGTTTAAAAGGTTCACATTGTTTATCTGTTTATTGAAACAAGGGCATTTGGGGATTCCCCAGCCACCCGCCCCATTGCTTATCATTCATTCAGTATGTATTGGACAAAAACTCAGGAAACTAATCTCCATTTGCATGTTTTACTGGAATGTAGCACATACATGTGGTCTTATACAGCTTATAAGGTCTGTTACTTTAGTGCTCATTACCTCATTGTGGTAGTCTTGCATTTTTCTTTGTACCTTGATTTTGTCAAATACAATGATTGGAAAAGAAAAATCTATTACATAACATTAAAAATTACTCTCCACGTGGGGTTCACAACTTACATAGCTTCCAATTACAGTTTACACGTGGACGCAACACATTTCGGAAATCCTTCTTCATGAGCACATGTAACAGCATCAGTACACTGGAACCCACTCCTAATCTTTAATAGAATAATATCAGCCATTAGGGTAGACTGAAATTCACAGCATGTGCATGTTGCATAGAGGTGAAAACGAGTAAGCCAAGGTCAAGCCACTGCCTCTAGGGTGGGAAATTCAGGTACATGCAGTAAACAGCCAATGGTCTTGTAAACATAATATTCAAATAGGTAGACCAATGGGGAACCATCAAGACTCAATGTAAGTAAGTCACCATAAAAACAACAAGATAGCCAAAGTAGTCAATGCACATATATTTCAAAGAGGGGGCTCAGTTCACAGCAATCCAACCTCACTGGTAGGTGGAAATTCTAAATGTGAGCATATGCCAGTGTTGAGCTAAAGGAAAAACTACTAAAGGCATTGAGTCAATTACATGAGGAGGAGGAGAGATATTGAATGGTGTCCTGCACACAAATGGTATACAGAATGCTCCCTGTGCCCATGCACTCATAGTTCAAGAAGGAGATGGGAATTCAAATGTTTGGCAGTTGATGTGAAAACATAGCTGGCTACAAGTTGAAATCAAAAGTTATATTTTAATTGGCAATGAACCTTTTTAAAAGCCTTGGCAATTAAAGTAGTTCTAAAGCTAACACCGTTATTACCTTAATGCATTTCCTGCATTATGGTAAAAAAATGTTTTACAGCTTGTTTTGCTTAACCACTTCCCTAAATACTTACCTGAGTCCAAAATCGATCCAGTGCTGTGCATGGCTGAATTTCTTCAACCCCCTCTCCCCACTCTCACAAGGACTAAGGAAGCAACAGGAGCCATCCTGCTGCTGTCAATCAACTCCTGTGAGCCAAGAGCATGGGGCAGAGGTAAGCTGCACTGTGTGTCAATAGATGCACACATCCCAGCTAAGGATCAAGCCCGCAAGTCTGCCCCCATACAAAGTGGCTTTCTATAGGGCAGACAGAGAAGAGGAAGAGCCA